TTTATGGGGGTACAAACGTCTAGGTTACATATATTGCCTTGTACCGCCTGAGTCAGAGCTACAAGTGTGCCCATCCCAGACAGTGCACACCCCACCCATTAGGTGTGCATTTGCTCATCTCCTCCTCCTCCCTCCCACCTGTCTGACACCCAATGAATGTTACTTCCATATATGTAGATAAGTGTTGATCAATTAGTACCAATTTGATAGTGAGTCCATGTGCTTGTTTCTCCATTCTTGTGATACTTCACTTAGAAGAATGGGGTCCAGCACCAGAAAATTATTATTAATTTAATTAGCTGTTATAATGGTATAATTACATATGTAAATGAAAGGTCCCTCTCTTTAACAGTTGTATATTGAAGTATTCAGGAATAAAGTATCATAATGCTGGAATGTTATATTCAAATTGATCAGCAAAAAATATAGATAAGCAAAGAGATAAAAGCAAATATGACAAAATATTAACTAGGTGATGTGTATATGGGTGATGACGATGGTATTTTTTTCAACTTTTCTGTATATTTAAATTATTTTATAAGTTGAGAGAATACAAATACAAATTACTTTAATAGGATAAATAATTATATAACAATGTTTTAGAAAGTAACAATATATTTCTTGAGTGGAAGAGCATTTAACATATTTGAATAAGGATATCAGTGACATTCACTATACAGTGGGAAGTTTGTAGGTGAAGGGCAGGGAAAGGTTCAAAGGAAACCTGAGATAGAAGTAAGAACTACAAAGGGAAAAGTTTCTACATAGAAAAAGATAGGAATCAGCACTGGAGAAAATTAAGATGACAATATCACAAAGCTGGAAAATGGAAGACTGCTATAAGTTTCATCTTTGAGATATGCAATTAAATTATATTTATATATTATACATTATAAATAATAATAATAAATATATCTTTCCAACCTTAATTCTTACCTCGGTTTTAATTTTAAAATTCTCTTTTGTACTTTACACAAGAGTCAAGTGTAAAATAGAAGAGATATTAAGTTATCAGTCTGCAACATCAACTATAGCCCATGTCATCCCCAAGTCTTAAGGCCACATCTATACAAATTATTAGATTAACAATTTTCCTGTGAATATGTGATGGCCAATGTGGAACAACCACCAGAATCACTACGTCTGCTGATGTCAGTCCTCTTAATCCTGGTACTGACTGACTACAGAATCCTGTCAGTTGCCTGCCCATCAGCCTTTATTACTACAAGGAAAAATAAATCAATTTAAAAAAGGTCAATTCAGTCAGGCCACATAAACACCATTACCACTTTTCTGGAATTAGATCGTTGTCATCAGAGAGGAAATATAGATGCACTGACTACAATAACAGGAGTTTCATTACAAATGTCCTATTAAATTTAAATGGCAAAGATTCAACATATGTCTACACCATTATCTATAGGTCTACTGTGGCTTCATGCTCAGAACATCATCTCAAAGCTAATCTTTACTTTTAAAACTGATTTAAAGTGGGTATGGAGACAGGAAAATGTCTAATTCTGCCTTCCAACTCTAGTTTAGTGGTATGTCTGTGAAGAAACAGAAAAACTGTCCTTAAATTTTTATCTATTTTTACCCTACCCATTAGGAAAAGGGTGAGCCATATAGTTTTCCTTACTAGTTTGGCAAATTCTATTGGTAAATTGATCTCTGAGTCTACTTGTTCACTTGTAAAATAGAAATAATACACTTTAATGTAAAAACAGGGCTGTTGCACCTGCTCTGTCAACCTTAAAGGGCTGATATAACAGGAGTTGAATACCTTGAAGACTGTCTCAAATAACTTTAAAAACACCATTTGTTTAGATTACATTTTAATTTCATTTATGACTATCCATTTCTGTAGTACAACATGTAAGAAAAGAAATTGGTGGGATTCCATTTTTACTACTCAGCTATCTAGTAAAAAAACAAATTAGATATAATATAGATAGAAATCTTGCCAAAAATATTTAAGCTGAATCTAGTGAAACAATTAGCCACATATAGATTTCGGAACATTCTACAAAGAAAATTGGCCAGGACTTTTTAAAAAATATCAATGTAATGAAAGACATAAATGAATGAATGAATGTAAGAGATGAAGGGCACAATTTAGATGAAAGGAAACAAAAGACATGTTGTCTAGATGTAATTTGTAATCCTTGATGCAGTCCTGGATCAAACAACAAATAAAAATTAGAAGGAACATTTTGGGAACAATTGGGGCAATGTGCTCTGTATATTAGATAATATTACATCAAAAGTAAATTTCTTGAGTGTGACAATAATATTATGGCTATGAAAAAATGTCCTTAGTTTTAGGAAAACATGCTGAAATATCAGGGAAGAAATGTTACATTGTTTGCAACTGATTTTCAAATGGTTCAGAAAAAATATTTTAAATAGACAGTAAGCAAATGTGGCAAAACATTAACAAGAGCGTTGTTAATGCTCTTAGGTAAAGGCATACAGGGGCTCATTATTATATTTAACTTTTCTGTACATTTGAGCTTTTCAGAAGACCTCTGAACTTTTCAGAAGAACTTTTTTCTATCCTAAGAACTTTTCTGAGCATGAAGCCACAGCTGGCCTATAGACAATGGCTTAGACATATGGTGAAAAGACATGTGGAAAAGTGGGAGGAAAGAGAACACTGCATAAACAAAACAAAACAATAAGTTGGCAAGTAATTTAAAAAGTATGTCAATTTTTCATTAATAAAATTATATATTTCAAAAACTGAATTTTCTAAACCAAAATAAATTCATTATAATATCAACATGTTATTTATTTATATTACTTAAAGCAACACTAATCTTGCTAATAATCAAAACAGTTAAATGAGGTGGACTTAGTTATATATAAAAAGTCTTACTAAAAATTGTTTCTTTTTCCATTCTTTAGATATTTTACTTAGGAGAATGGTTTCCAGTTTCATCCAGATTGTTCATTTTTTACATGGCTGAGTAGTACTCCATGGTATACACATACCACATTTTATTAATTCATGTACTCACTATTAAATTGGAACTAACCGATCAGCACTCAAGTGTACAGATGGAAGTAAAACTCAATGGAAATCATACAGGTTGGGGGGGGGGCGTGGAGGAGATGGGTGAAATCATACCTAAGGGGTACAATGTACACTATTTGGGTGATGGGCATACTTATAACTCAAGCAGTGCAAAAGCAATTCATGTAACCAAAACATTTATACCCCTATAATATTCTGGATATTTTAAAGAAATTTCCTTTAGGTAAAAAGCAGCATAGCTTCTAAAAAGCAGGATAGAATTAGATAAAAGTGTTATTATTGAAAAATATCATTGAAATAAACTTAATGAATTTACATATTAGCAGACTGGTACTCACATATTTTCAGGAGTACAACCATTAAATTTAAGGACATACAACTTTACATTTTTCTTTAAAAGAAAATTTCAAAGACAAATATAACATAAATAATGGCTCATATTTTATCATATACTTCAATTCAACCATTCCAAAGGTAAGTAAAACAACTAGAAACAATGAGGTGCAGTCCACAGGCAAAAACAGCATGATGTTTTGCTACAGAAATACTATTAAAGTATTCTAGGGTAGAAATGCTGTAAAAAGGGGTGGAAGTGGGAATGGTTAATGAGTGCAAAAATATAGTTATTAATAGATAGAATTCATTATTATTCGTTAACAGAATGAACAATACCTGATAGCACAACAAAATGACTATAGTTAACCGTAAGTTATAGTATACTTTAAAATAACTCAATAAGTAGAATTAGAATGTTCCTGACACAAAGAAATAATAAATGCTTAAGGTTATGGGTATCCCAATTACCCTGATTTGATTGCTACACATTGTAGGTCTGTATCAAAACATTACATAGGGTATGGGGGTTCATGCCTGTAATCCCAGCACTTTGGGAGGTCAAAGCAGGAGGACTGGTTGAGACCAGGAGTTCAAGACAGAGTGGGACCCCATGTCTATAAAAGTAAAAAAAAAAAAAAAAAAAAAATTAGCCTAGAGTGGTTGTGCACAATTGTCATCCCAGCTACTCAGGAGGCTGAGGCAGGAAGACTGCATTAGCCCAGGAGTTTGAGGTTACAGTGAGCTATGATTGCACCACTACATTCTACCCTGGATGACAGAGCAAGACCCTGTCTCTAAATTGATCAATCAAATCAAATCACACATAATTCCAATATGTATAACTATTATTTACCCATAATAACTAAAAATAAAAAATTATAAAATAAAGAAAAAGTTCTTTAAATTATCAATGTAACATATTGGATAAAATTTAATAAAAGGAAAAGAAAACCCCTCTAATCAATAGACTTAAAATAATGAAATAAAAGAAACTAAATCTGCCCTGTACTGGAAAATTTTCCTACATTATTTTAGGTGAAAAATAATAGCTAAATTTCCATAGTCTCTTTTGCATCAAACCAGTATACATATACTTGACAGATTCTCTAGGTGGTGTAGTACTACTTTTTAAGTGCAGTATAAGCATTCAACTATTCTAAATAGATTATCAGGCTTTCTTGTCCTGACAGAAGGTTGGAGAATTGCCCATCAATCCCTTAAGAAATCAGAAAGTATAGTCAAGAATGTCTTTGTATGGGTTCATTTGAATACTAACTAGAAAGAGCACCACTGTAACATGAGCAAATGCTTTATGTTTATATAATATCCTAAATAAATTCATGGAAAATTTAAATATTCTGTTAATATGAAGTAGCATTCTCTGCTTTAAAACCTATTTACTGTGTAGATTTCCATTACTATGTTTTCTTAGGAAATGTACAGTATTTCCTTTAGTGAATAAGTTCTGCAATGGAAAGAAAAATAAGAACGGATTAAATTATCTTTATGAACTAACTTGTTTTTACCAGTCCTTCCCTTTTCTTTATAAGAAGGCAACAATGTGAATTGCATAGGCAAGAACAAACTTCATAATGAATCTTTATTTTCAAAATAACATTTCATTTACCTTATTGATGGGCACTATCAAAGTTGGTTCCACTTTAGCTTCAATTTCTTCTGGACTGTAAAAACAATAGAGTTTACCCCCTCTCAAGACACAATACAGCCTTCTCCAACTAATCAGACCTTCTACTATTTGCTGAAAGAAAAAAAAAAATCAAGAAATTATCAACTTTTATTACCTTAACTCTAAATTCATCAAAATACTTAAGTTATCAAAGTTACATTAGTTATTTAGCATTTACAAAATGTGATAGGATTACCCATTAATTTGCTATCCAGTAAGTATAGACGCCCCAAATCCAAGAGTAAGTTAATACCAGAAAAGTTTGGAATTCTCAAAAGCGTTAAGCAAAATGGTGGTAATGATTACCATATAACTTTTTACACACATAAAATCATAAATCAATGCAGTTTTAGAAAAGCTAGTCCATTAAAAATTAGTGCTTAGAATTCCACAGCAATTCATCAAGTGACTCAGGAAAATTATAAAAATAACTCTCAATGTTCAAAATACAATTTTCCCTTACTGTTCTCAAAGCATTGGAAAATGTTGACTACCCTGTAAGAATGCAAATTTTCTTTCTTCCTAATGGAATCTTTTAGAAACAGCTATTGATTCATTGAAGCCCACAATTAATTATTTACTGAATATAAATAACCATGGTTATAAATAAATCAGGAGTAGGTGGCACAGAGGCAGCTTTGGAAGCTCAGAGGCCTAAACTGTGCCAAAAGCTGTCTGCTAGAAAGGCCTTCGTGTGAGAGGTGTTAAGCAGCCCTCACTGGTTTCCACAAGGAGCCTCTGCTGCTGATTACCCTGTTACTGCTATTCACGAAGCGGACGAGTGTGGAGAGGTAGCTCCACAGCCATCAAAACTGCATTGGACCCCTCCCCTTGCCATCTTTTCCACCCCTGCATCCTCCACAGTTTATATCTGATAACATTTAGAAAACTGACATTTAAAGACTTAAAAAAAAAAAAAAAAAACTTCTCAAAGTTAGAAGGCCAAACAACTGCCAGTATATTAGGATTTAAATTGGAGCTACAATTGTTGTAGGATAGTTAAAGTCCTCTAACCTGCTGATTAAGAAATCCCGAAAATGCATCCTCAGCCATACAAGCTGGCTGGGCGACTAATCGGCAGCACATGTTGCCATATAGGGGAAGCCAAAATGAACACTCTTCTATTTAAAGGAGAAAGGAAAAAAAGTCAAGTTATAAATATATGTTTATTTAAGGTCATTATACATTTTGATTTTTCTATTTTTCTCCTTTTACATTTTTTTGCTTTATACAAGAACATATTTTATAATTATTTTCATGTAAAAATTCATCCTATTCAAATACCAGTACCATATTTAGTGACCAAATCAAATATAATAAAGTAAAAAGGACAGGATGATATTAAATCGATAAGTTTATAGCATCTTATCAGCTGGAATAAGCATCAACTGTTTAGTCTCTCGATCTTGTTTGATCTTAACAGTAATTATTCAATGGAGATTGTTCAGAGACTATAATGTAAGTAACTTCATTTAATATAAAAAACATTCTAACAAAATAATTTATATTTGTCAAATTTTACTTTCTGCTCTGTTTTTCATTATAATAATTAGCAAGGTGATCCTCTGAATAAAACATTATTTCGGAGAACACAAGATAATTTAATAAATATTTTTGGCCCCTCCTCTTCCTGAACAATTTATTCATAAACCATTAGGTGGAGCCTCCAACATGGGCGTTGGTGCCAGGGGCTGTGGAGGGAGCTGTGCTGTGCTAGGACTGGGTGCTGGCGCCAAGCAGGCTGAGAAGGGTTAGTAGGAGGGCTGCCTGCAGGAGGTATCAGTGCCTAAGGGCAATTACAGAGGCACAGCCTAGACTGGAACGTCTGTTCCCAGGAAGCAGGGTGAGGAGGGTGCCCCCCGTGGCAAGGATAGCCTGAGGTGGAGCGTGAGCTCACGGGGAGTCTCTACTCAGAGGATGGGCTGGTGTGGGGGAGTCAGGGCCCAAGCAGAGTGTGGAGGGCCTCTGTGGGGATGATGGGGGGTGGCTGCTTGATGTGAGGTGCCAGAACCCAAGAAGAATAAGCAGAGTGTCCATGTTTGGGCAGGAGCCCAGCCATCAGAGTCAGAATCTTATTTACACGTGTGTCAGACTTAGAATGACAGTGTGTCAGAGCCCTAAGTCAAGTCAGAAGGGCATCCAGGGTTCCTTGAAGAAATGGCTGATTCCATTGGGGGACAGGGGTGGGAAAGTACATGATGAGCTGGAATATCTCAACATGCCATAAAGCATGGAAGTGCTCAAAAGAATGATGGGAATGTGTCAAAGAGACAGCGCCATCCTGAATGGGCTCCCATTGGCTAAATTGGGGACAACTTGAACCTTAAAATAAACAATAATATTAACATCATGATACACTGAAAAATAGACAATGTGAGTTTCTACTGATATAAATAAATCAATGTATAAATTGAAAATCTAATAAGAAATAGCACATATTTGACCATTGAACAACATAGGCTTGAACTACATAGTTCCACTTATACGTGGATTTTCTCCTGCCTCTGCCACCCTTGAGACAGCAACATCAAGCCCCACCACTCCTCATTCTCAGCCTACTCAATGTGAAGACAATGAGAATGAAGATGTTTATGATGATCTCTTCCACTTGATGAATAGAAAATACATTTTCTCTTATGATTTTATTAATAGCATTTTTTCTCTAGCTTAGTTTATTATAAGAATACAGTATATAATGTATATAAAATATGTGTTAATCGACTATGTTATCAGTAAGGCCAGTCAACAGTAGGCTATCTGTAATTAAGTTCTGGAAGAGTCAAAAGTTACATATGAATTTTTGACTGTGCAAGAACTGGTACTCAAACCCCATGTTTTTCAAGGGTCAACTTTTGCCATAAAGAACATTATTTGGACAATGGGCAACACTTGAACGAAGGCTGAGGATTAGATGTTTGTAATGCATTAATATTCATTTCTTGACTTGGAGAGTTGTGATGATGTAGGCAAATGTCCTGATAATAGGGAATATGTATTAACATTATTTGGGGTAACAGACTATCATGTAAACAACTTGCCCTCATATTTTTTTTTTCGGGAGAGAAGATCTGGAGATATAAACTGGGCATAGTGGCATATGCCCGTAGTCCCAGCTACTCAGGAGACTGAGGCAGGAGAATTGCTTTAGCCCAGGAGTTTGAGCCAGCCTGGGTAACATAGCAAGACCTTAACTCTAATTGAAAAAAAAAAAAAAATCTTGACTTTCAACTCACAACTTTTCTGCAAGCTTCAGATTGTTTTAAAAAGTTATTTAAAAAAACATTAATACTCTGATTTGATGTAGTATGTAGGTAGGTATACAGCTTTCATATGTGTATGGAGGAAAGCATTAAGTAATTATTTATTCTGTATATCAGGGTATAAATAAAAACCTAACATATGATCTTTAGTTCACACTGGACCACAGAAAAATGATTTTTAAAGTTTTCAATGTATTTCTGTTGGTAGTACCTATAAAATGGATAGCCATTGGCTGTAACTATTGTTTACCTAAAAGCTTTGGTTATTCTGAAAAACAAATTTTGGCAAAAATACAGCTACTTAATACATAGATGCAAGGTAGCCAATGTCTGGTACCAGTTAAAGGAAAAAGAACAGCCTAAGTGAAGAGTACAAAGTAAAACAAAGTTTTAAACAACTTCCCTACCTAATATCCTACTACGGAATAGCACATAACAAATGTTCTGAAATTATTCAAAATGTTTTATTAACATCTTTTTAAAGCTATCTTTTAGAAAAAGAGGGGGGCTTGACCTGGGAGAAATAAATGTACAAACGCAGTACATGCAATGATTCCAAAATGCAGACACAAAAACAATGAGTTATCTTTCCTAAAATAGGCAGAAAATGAAATAAAAATTCTACAAAAGCATGCACTTCAGTAATACATGCTAAAATCAACTTTGTGATCTATAAAGTTTGAAAACAAATTTTTAAAAATATAGGCAATCTCAGATTTATGAATGGTTTATATTCTAAATATCTGTAAGTTAGTTGTTTTTAAGTTAGAATCACTTCCTAAAGAAAGTAAGTCATAAATGATGATTAGATTCTCAGACCAGTCCATAAGTTTGTGCAATCAATAATCATCTGGAACCTAAATACCACATGTAACAATGTGTTTGTCTGGTAAAATAAGTTCAGAGTTCATGGCATGCCAACAAAATTAATTCTTTCCTGACTGTAGTCCTTGAAAAGGAATAATGGATGTCCTTGCCACATATCCAGCAATCACCTGTTACTTTTAACCTAGGTTTCTTTATAGCTCAGGACTACTGAGGAATAAAATGTAGGATTACAGCTTCTCTATACTCCTGACAAGAAATACGGCATCTAGGCTACTTGCTTAACCTACCTGAATATTAATTTCTCATTTTAAAAAATATCACCCATCCTAAGTAGGGAGGCTGTTATAAAAATCAAATAAGATGATGTGTATATGACATCTACCATTGTATCTGGCACAGAATAGATGCTTCTCATAATTTCATATCCAGGGTCCTCTCACTCCTTAAACCATACCCTTTCCGTTTTTCAATGCTGCCCTCAGTCCTTTGTGCAATGTATCAATCAAAATATTGATTTTTTCTTTTCTAAGGGAGGTATGAGGACAAGATGAAATGAAACAGAAAATAAAACCTTTAACTAATTCATCCATAATTTCAAATGGGGAACAAAAAGGAGCTTAAAAACGACGACCAACAACAAAAACAAAATAGGCAGGAGAAAGAATTCAGATAACATCTCAGTTCTGTGTGAGTCAGTCTTCATAATGTGGTTTCATTATCTTATAAAAAGTACAAAAATTTCTTGATGGCAAATATAAAGCTTAAGATACCCTTTGGGCTGTTTCCTTCAATAACAGGAACAATTAAATTGAGTTATAATTTTTCAAAACCTTGTATCTCCTCTTAATTTTGACAGTATTTGGTAGATACTGGCATAACTTTATTTAATAAAACACATGATATTAACATAAAGACTTAATTTTGATTTATACATACTTCTTAGGAATATACCTACTACATAAAAAGAAGCATACAGTTTGGTGTTTCTTAAAATTTGTTCTGTGATATCTACATGTTCCAATGTCAACCGTTTTGGGGTTTTATTGTTTTACGCACAGGTCTTTTCACAGTTTTTAATATGTATGTCCTGTGTTTCTCTGAGAGAGCTGTAACACATAGCTTCCATGCTTACTTGCCCATGAGTGTTCTGTTGAAGGAGAATCCAGTAACATTTTACAGGACACTGAAGACAACTGAGGAATCACTGCTAAAATTGATGCTCCCTTTGTGAATTTTATTCCTTTCTACTACTTTTCAGATGATTTGTTTGAAAGAATGGGGCCTTTCATCAACTCCATTATCTTCACACATCATAATGCTTTGGTTTTTGGGTACTTTAACAGTAATCCTGCCTGACAGTAAAGCACAGCACGAAGAACACAGCCTGTCATGGACTGTCTAAAGTCCGGCTCGACCACTTGCTAGCTACGTGACCTAGCATGTTACCCTCTCTAAGCTGCGTCTTACTCATCTGTAAAATATAAATGATAATACAATGAAGAACTTGGGAAGGTCACACAACTAATCAGCAGTAGACCTAGAATATGAACCTAAGAGCGATGGATCCCCACTATTAATCACTTTATTATAATGCTTCTTTATAACTACATCTCACAAAGTGTTAAGCATAAAAACTGCTTTAAAAATGTTTAGAACCGTTTCTAGCACATTATAGGCACTAAACATATGGTGGTAATACTAATAATTCTAAAGAATTGACAAAAATAGGATAACAACAAACTCTGTTTATCAGATTTCCTGACAAAACTGACAATGCAAATACTGTTGCAGACTTTAGTTTTGTGGTGATGGCAGGCCAGACTGTTCAGGCCAATGTTCCCACTCTGAAAACTAAAAATGCCAAATAAAATATATTATAAAAATATTCCCCAAACAAGACTATAAGAAATTTCCAGGAGAAACCTAAAGATTAATGAAAACACCAAATTAAGGGAGCACAGAAGCTATGTCTGTCCTGAAAGCATTTACCAATCCCATCAAATCTGAACTTATGATTTAGTGATTCCTGCAAGATGAGGGAAAGAGAAGAGAATTCAAAGTCCTGGGTGTGCCCAATGGATCAGTTTAGAGATTCTCTGCATACTAAGCTGATATCTCAAAGAGATCACCAACAATGTAGTGGTGAACTAGATGTACACTAATCCTGCTATCCAGATTCCCATTGTCTGGGGCTGGGAGTAGAGTTTGGGTTGGGAGGAGTCCAGAGACACTCAGACATGAACCTTGCATAAAGTGGGACTGGACTGACAGTATCTCCAGGTGCCTGCCAGAAGCAAACAGAAATACATGGCATCAATTTATTCCTAATTATGCAAAATTTCAATTACATGAACAGATACACGAAGATAACCAGATATTCAAGGACTTGAGATACCATGAATGAGAACTAGTTTAAAAAAAAAAAGACCTAGAAAGACTTTAGATATCTGAATTATTAGACAGAGACTATAAAATAACTATGCTTACTCTTTTATTAAAAACATAAAAGATATTAATGTATTCAGTGTAGAGAAAGTGACATAGAAGATTTGAAAAAGTCAAATACAACTACTAAAGCCGAGAAAGATGATAACTAAAATGCAGAACCTAGTATATGAGTTTAATAGTAGATTAGACAGAGCTGCAGAGGGAATAAGGGAAAGGAAGACAGGTCATAAAAATATACACAAAAGCAACAAATACAGACAAAAAGATGAAAACTACTTCATAAATGGCAAGAAACATAAAGGATATGGTGTGAAAGACTAAAATAGGTTTAATGGGCATGCAAGAGGAGAAACACAAGAAAATGGAACGTAGGCTGTCTCAACAGATGAGATTTTGTCCAAACAGATGAAGTACATCAGTCAACAATTTAAAGATGCTCAAGGAGTCCCAAGCAGCATAAATAAAAATAAATTCTACATATATCACAGTGAAATTTTACCGGAGAAAAAATAAAAAGAAAGATTACATTCACAGAGGTAACACAATGACAAATGATTTTCAACAATCAGTAATAAAAACCAGAAAATAGTGCAATTATATTTTTAATACTCAGAATGAAAAAATGGCCAAACTTCTGTATCTTGTAAAACAAAATACATTTCAATAATGAAACAAAATAACATCATCTTCAAACAAACAAACAAGAAGTTTGATACCAGCAGAACATACTAAAAGAAATTCTAAGGATTATACCTCAAACAGAAAGAAAAATTATTCCAGATGTAAAGTATAAGATACAAGCAGTACAAAGAAATATGTATACCTAGGGTAACTGAGGGAAAGTAGTGGTGGCAATGTTCTATATCTTGGTGTGGAGGTAGCTACACAGATATTCATTTCACAATTATTTGTTAAACTGTATATTTCACAAACTTTTCTCTATTTTTAATGTATCTTTTCATTGTGAAACTTAAAAACCATTGGTAGGTATAAAATTATCAATCTCATGAGTACATAGCTACCCATCTTTACAATAGCAAGTATAGTATATTTACATATTTTTATATATTTTGCCTCAGAAAATGAACAGAAGTAAATAATCTAAATCATATTTCTAAACTACTTTATCAACACTGCTCTATCTTATTCATCACAAGTGAAATAATCTGGAAGAGTAAAGAGTGTTCATGCTAAGTGTTACAAACCTTCCCAAATCACCTAACCCCCTTCTTCACTTTGCTATATATTTCTTTTGGATAAACTATTAATACAATTACCACTATCATCCAGAGAGAAAAGGGTTAAGATTAATTTAGCTCTACCTTCTCTTTTTTATATCCTTTGCTTCCTATCAACAGAAGGGTTGGTTTCCTTGATTTCAAATTTTAAAATGATAAGTCTTTAATTTCCAGCTACAAGAGTGGTGAGGTCATCAATTTCAAGTCAAAGATAAGGATTTAGAACACTTTCTGCTCTAAGTTAGCCTCACATACAAATCTCAGCATACAGAAAGGAAAATAAACTTTTTTTCCTTTGCAGAAAGGGGATAGACAAATTTGAAAGAACCCACAGAATCACTCATGCCTACATTATTTAAGCCAATGTCTATTTGGGGTGAAAATATTAAAATTAGAAATTATCACTGTCACGACATATGTATAGATATATGTAATAAGTAAAATACACAATGTACTTACCATTTCCATTAATAGACAGATTATGGGTCTTGAAATTATCATCAGCACTTTCCAATGTTAGGGTAGTATGAGCTAGCAAATTATACTTTACACCACTAATGTGAAAAAGAAGACACGTTTTAAGTATTTTTATGTTTTCTACGACATAAAATATTTAGATGTTTGACAATAATAAACCTAATTTAAAAATGTGCAAACAACTTCTCCAAAGATGATACATAAATGGCCAATAAAACATGTGAAAAGATGCTCAACATCATCAGTCACTAGGGAAATGCAAATCAAAACCACAAGGAGACTTCACACCCATTAGGATGGCTAATAGTAAAATAAACAAAAAACTAGAAAATAACAAGTATTGGCTAGGATTTGGAAAAACTGAAACCTTTGTACATTGCCAGTGGAAATGTAAAATGGTGCAGCTGCTATGGAAAACAGTATGGTGGTTTCTCAAAAAATTAAAAATAAAATTATTATTAATATATAATCCAGCAATTCTACTTCTAGATACACACCCAAAAGAACTGAAAGCATGGACTTAAATAGATATTTGTACACCCTCTTTCATAGTGGCATTATTCAAAACAGCCAAAAGGTGAAAGAAACCCAACAAAATGTGGTGTGTATATATAATGGAATATTATTCAGCCTTAAAAAGGAAGAAAATTCTGACACATGCTACAACATGGATGGAACATGAAAAACATTACGCTAAGTGAAATAAGCCAGTCACAAAAGGATAAGTACTATGATTCCATTTTTAATAGGTATTTATAGTAGTCAAATTCAGAGATGAAGTAGAATGGTGTTGCCAGGGGCTGGGCATAAGGAGAATGGGAAACTGGTATGTAATGGGTACAGAATTTCAGTCTGAGAAGATGAAAAAGTTCTAGATGACGATGATGATGGTTGTATAACAATGTGAACATACTTAATGTCCCTGAACTATATACTCAAAAATGCTTAAAGTGGTAGTAAATTTTGTGTTATATATATTCTACCACAAAAAATTCAGATATTATAGATGACAGATTTATAGTCAACATGTTATTAATCAATTTAGCATGTTTATTTATGATATTTTGTCAATAAAAACTGCAAATTATTTAACTCTCACAAATGTTTTTCTGAAGGGTCTCCATTTATTCATTCAATAAATATTTACTGAACACCTAAAATGTGCTAAGCCCTATGCTAGGAGATGGATATTCAATTGTAAACAAGATTCAGCATTATATTCTGGTGCAGGCAGGAGACAAAAAGAGTAAGCAGAGGAATAAATCAAATACCAGCATTTACAAATTGTAATGCAACTTTTTCTCTGAAAGAAACAAAGGGGATGAGAAAACTGAGGACCTGTGTTAGACAGGTGAATTGGGGAAAATCTCTCTAAGGAGGTAACAGACAGTCACAAAAGGATCTAGCCAAACAAAGCATGCAGGAAAGCCTTCCAAGCAAAGAGACAGCACGTAGGAACAGAGGGCTCAAAGAAAAGTAGTGTGGCTGGAGCATGGCGGCAGGCAGGAAGCACGGTGCAACACAAGGCTGGAAATACAGACAGGCACTGGGTCACTTAGGCCAGGGCTTGGTGAGCCCAGGAAGAAGGGTGGATTTAATTCTAAGAGTAATGAGAAGTCATGGAAAATTGTTAAGGGGAATGATAGGATGTGATTTACATCAATTTGCCAGGAACAAAGACTGTCTTCTTGATGAAATTCTAGTCTGGTTCCTCTGAGTCCTCTTCTCAACTAGACCTCAACCCTGGCCTATAAAGACTTGAACAAAACACTAACATTGTCTCTAACAGCTTAAGCGTGCATTACTAGGATGTCCTTAGACCTTCTTAAAATGCCTGCCTGAGAAAATTCTAGGATGTCCAAAGAATTTACTGTTTGTTTCAGGCAATACCTGAAGAAAGAGTCCTAGTCTCCTAATCTCTGTGGGAGGGTAGCAGCCTAACTTTGCTAAGTACCAGCTAGCATGTCCAGATGGTTGCACATGGACCAAGTACCCTCCTGCTGTTTGGAAATTTTTACTTCTCTGACTGAGCTCAGCTCACCCCTTCCCTATTTCCTCATTCTCCCTTTAAAATGTCCAATTATTTCCACACAAATCAAAGTTGAGCACAGTTCTTGCTGGACTGTTCTCCCAATTGCAATAGTACATTACTGATTAAAATCTATCCTTACCACTTTAGTTAGTGTCCAGCTTTCCTTATTTCTGACTGAATCTCCTTCTTCTGGCTATCTACTTCAAAGATTTAGGGGTCTTATCAATAATGAGGGAAAATGGAGGACTTCATTATTAATTCCATTTCTTTCTTTTTATTATAGCTTCCTTTATGGTACTTATGTTAAAATAGCACTCTTGCCAAAATATCTAGAAATTCTGGTGATGAATTTCATATTCTGGTACTTTCTGTGGTGATAAAAAGTAAAGTTTTGTTCAATAACAACTGTATTTGCTGTGTTAGTAATCTTATTTCATTACTTTTCTTAGTTTTATTTTTCCAAAATAGTTAAATCTCAAAATACAAAACATCAGAGTACGTTAAAAAAATGACATAGACAGATATAGAGGGATTGACGTCTGATAGGAATTTTCATTAATTGTGCCAGGTGATATGTTTCATAAATCTTTGTCTATTACTAAATCTTTAATAAAATTTTTAATATAAAGAAAAAACATGCATACATTAGTAGATATGCAATACATACATGAACCTATTCAATAAATAAAAGCATACGCCATAGACTGGTACTCTCTGCCTATTGGTTTTTAATAAATAAAGATATCTCTTAATACCCAATGTTTTAATTTATGTTTTTGTCTTTAAATCTCAACATAAAATTTTTACAACAAAATGCATAAGCAAAATTTCAAGTTACATCCTGAATACAATTGGTATAATGTCAGATTTTTTGAAAAGTTTACTAAGTATCAATAAATCTCCACTGCTGCTAGAACCAAGAGGCACAAGCCTCACACCTAGTGTGGAACATTCTCTGCTATTATTCACTTATCTTGAACAAGTTCTACAGTGAATTGCATAATTAGCTCTTATTTTTGCCTAGTGTTTACATGATGAGCCCCCAAAAAGTTAAGAAAGTATTAAAAAAAACTATGGAGGCCGGGCGCGGTGGCTCACGCCTGTAATCCTAGCTCTCTGGGAGGCTGAGGTGGGCGGATTGCTCAAGGTCAGGAGTTCAAAACCAGCCTGAGCAAGAGCGAGACCCCATCTCTACTATAAATAGAAAGAAACTAATTGGCCAACTGATATATATATAAAAAATTAGCCGGGCATGGTGGCACATGCCTGTAGTCCCAGCTACTCGGGAGGCTGAGACAGAAGGATCGCTTGAGCCCAGGAGTTTGAGGTTGCTGTGAGCTAGGCTGACGCCACGGCACTCACTGTAGCCTGGGCAACAAAGCGAGACTCTGTCTCAAAAAAAAAAAAAAACTATGGAGAAAGAAAGTAATTGAGAACAGTAAGTATAATGGAAAAGTAACTATTACTAGATATAAAATTGCCAATTAACAATTCTATTAGTCCTCTCTCTGTCTGCCTTCTGCCCTGTTTGCCTCCTAACCCTCTTCTCAAAACAAAAACCAAAAACCAAAAATTATATTAGTTGTTTGGTTATCAAAATGCAATATGTTAAGCATTATCTCAACACGACAATTTGTCCCTTACATATAGGTTTTATGGAACTATATTTTAGAGAACTAGATGAGAGTTTTAAATTGATAAAGCATTAGCAATTTTCCCAATTAAGATAATGGGAAATAGACTCCTGGTTAGCATTTTAGTGAGAATATGTTATTTTCAGAAAACGATTATTGACAATAAATAGAAGAGTTGCCTGCATTTGGCAGGCACTGTTCTAGGTGCTGAGGCTACAATAGTCAACAAAATGGGGGAGGGGGGGGAAGTCCTTCTCTCTTATAAAAGAAGAAAAACACATAGATGAATATATACTTTTATCAGATCCATGAGGCTAAGTAAAGCATTATAAGGGAACGAAGGTGATGGGAGAGTGTTATTTCAGATGAATAAAGGAGAACAAGGTCCATCAGCAAAAACATTTGAGCAAAGCTCTGAAAGAAAGAAATGGGCCATTAGAACAGAAGAATGAGCATTTCAGGCAGAGGACGATAAGTATAAAGGCTAATGTGAGCATATGCTAAGTATGTTTGAAAAGCCACAGGAGGTCAGAGTGGCTACAGTACGGTGAGGGAGAGAGTAATATGAGATGCCCAAAAGGTAAGTGGGGGCACACACTACACACCACAGTCCTGGTAGGGCATGATAAGGACACTGGATTTTACTGAGTGACATGTGAAGCAAATGGTGGGTTTTGAGCAGAGGCATGTTCTGTGATTTTTGACTTGTATCATAATTAAATGAGCCCTCTGGCTGCTGTGTAGGGAACAGACCACAGGTGCCAAGAGTAAAAATGGAGACACCACCTAGGAGTCTACTGCAATTGACTAGGCAAGAGCTGCTGCGGACCTGGGATAGAGTAGGAGTGGTAGAGTTGTGATATTAATAAATGGTAAGAATCCTGGCCAGGCTCAGTGGCTCATGCCTTTAATCCTAGCACACTGGGAGGCGTAGGCGGGAGGAACACTTGAGGTCAGGAGTTCGAGATCAGCCTGAGCAAGAGCAAGAACCCCCCACCCCTGCCTCTAGTAAAAATGAGCTGGGCAACTAAAAACAGAAAAAATTAAACAGGCATGGTGGCACATGCCTGTTATCCCAGCTACTTGGGAGGCTGAGGCAGGAGGATCACTTGAGCCCATGAGTTTCAGGTTGCTAGGCTGACACCACAGCATTCCAGCCGGCCTGGTGACAGAGTAAGACTCTGTCTCCAAAAAAAAAAAAAAAGATCCTGATATATTCTCAAAGTTGACTTGATGTGAACATGGGATGTAAAAGGAAAGAATTAAGGATATCTCCAAGGCTTTTGGTCCAAGCTACTAGAAAAATTGAATTGTTATTAACTGAAATGAGGCAGACTGAGAGGGAAATAGGTACATAAAATAAGAATTTAGTTTTGGGTAAGTAAACTTGAGATTGTTTTAAATATCTAAA